TCCAGTGCTTTGGAGAACAGAGGTGGCAAAAGTGGGCCTCCCTATCTTGTCCTTGATCTTAGAGGAATAGCTTCCAGTCTTTCTAAATTGAGTATGATGTTTGCTGTACATATTCATGTTTTTATTCACATATATTTATATATATGCTGCTTCCTTCATTCCTAGTTTGTTGAGTATTTTTATCATGAAAGGGTGTTGAATTTTGTCAAATGTGTGTGTGGGGGGGGAGGGGGGGGTTTGCATCCATTGAGACAGTCATGTATTTCCCCCCCTCATGCTGTTAATGTTGTCTATTACACTGATCATCTATCATATGTAGAACCATCCTTGCATTTCAGTAATAGCTCTCTCTTGACCAAGGTGTATAAATCTCTTAATTTCCTGCTGAATTTGGTGTGTTAGTAATTTGTGGAAGGTTTTTACATCAATGTTCATAAGGGATGTTGACCTGTAGCTTTCTTTTCCTGTAGTGTCTTTGTCTGGCACTGGTATCAAAGTAACACTGGCCTCAGAGAATTGGTTAGGGAGAGTTCCCTCTGAGGTTTGCAGTGACCTAGGAATGAACAAAAAATTCTTAGCTTGATATAAGGCATCTGGGAAAATGTCACAGCCAACACCACCTTCCATTGGAAAGACCACACTTTTCCCTGAGACCAGGAACAAGACAACTATCAGCCACAACTATCAGCCTCACACTGAGGGTCTGACCCAGACCAGAGGCAGAAGTAAAAGGCATGCACATGGGAAACGCAGAAATGAAATAGTCTCTGTTCACACGGGACATGATTGTCCACATAGAACACCCCCAGAATCTACAAAAGGTCTCCTGGAAATATCAGAGCAAGGTTGAAGAATGCAGACTTAAAATGATAAAAAAAAAAAAATAATTGTAGTTCTACATAGGGGTGGGCAAAAGTAGATTTATAGTTATGGGTACATGACACAGCTTATTCTTGGTTATTATTTGTTTATTGATAATTATATTGTTTATTTGTATTACTTGTCTCATTATTATTGTTGTTATTTTTGTATCCTTACCTATGACATATATTTTAGGTAATGATGGCTGGTAAATTGACCTACTGTTGCCCACCTCTATATAATATTAATAAACAATTGGATTTCAAACTTTTTGTTTAAAAGTATGACTTAGAACAAAATAAAAAAAGAAAACCAGCATAAATTTTACATAATAAAAACGCGGATGAAATAAATCAAGGAAAACATGAATAAATGGAGAATTAGACCATCTTCATGAATGGAGACATTGTGATGTCAGTTTCCTTCACATTGCTCTGTAGATTCAAAGCAATCCCAGTAAAAATTGCAACAGGATGTTTTTTTGTTATCAATAAGCTGAATCTAAACTTATTTGGAAAACAAAGGAGCTTAAATAGCCAAAGCTATTGTCATTCTTGCTGTTGGAGACCCTTGTCTGTCTACCTTCCCCTTTGCTGCATTTCTCAGTGGCTGGTGCCCCTCCTCAGCCGCCTGGGTGTGGGGTGTCCCACAGTGATGAGCAGTGGTGCCCCAATTCCAGCCCAGCTGCCCTGTCTCTCACTCAGGAGAACAGCTGGCAGGGGAGCATGGCAGGGCAGGTGGGACTGCCAGGGCTCCACCGCTCCTGATGTTTCCGGGGTGTTTGCTTAGGACACATACACAGGGCAGGGGCAGCCTGCTCTTCAACAGTGACAGACATTTAAAGCAGCAGCTTCTTTCCTGGAAATAAACCAGGAGAAATAAGGACTCCCAGGACTCAGCTCAAAATATCAACAAGGAAAGGGGGCGTGGGGTGCCTCCTGCTTGGAAAACAAACACCCAGGCGGGTATAAAAGCCAACAGCCCTGGGCACCTTACATACTCACTCACTCACTCACTCACTCACACACTCACACTCACACCCTCCTCCAGCCCCACTGCCCCGCCATGGCCGCCTCCACCCTGTCCGTCTGCTCCAATGATATGAGCTACGGCAGCCGCGCCTGCCTGCCCGGTTCCGGTGACTCTTGCATGGACTCCTCCTGGCAGATGGACGACTGTCCAGAGAGCTGCTGTGAGCCCTCCTGCTGCGCCCCCTCCTGCTGTGTCCCCAGCTGCTGCCAACCCTCCTGCTGCACCTCCAGCTGTTGTGTCCCCACCTGTTGTGTCCCCAACTGCTGCACCATGCCCTCCTGTCTTACCCTCGCTTGCACCCCAGTGAGCTGTATACCCAGCTCCTGCTGTCAGACGTCGTGTGGGTCCAGCTCCTGCCAGCCCTCCTGCTGCACCTCCTCCCCCTGCTGCACACCTGTCTGCTGCAAGCCCCTGTGCTGTGTGCCCGTCTGCTCTGGGGCCTCCTCCTGCTGCCAGCCCACCTCCTGCACCTCATCCTGCTGCAGACCCTCCTCCTGTGTGTCCCTCATCTGCCGCCCCGTGTGCAGGCCTGCCTGCTGTGTGCCCACCTCCTCCTGCTGTGGCCCCGCCTCCTCCTGCCAGCCCAGCTGCTGCCGCCCGTCCTCCTGCATGTCCCTGCTCTGCCGCCCCGTGTGCAGGCCTGCCTGCTGTGTGCCCGCCTCCTCCTGCTGTGGCCCTGCCTTCTCATGCCAGCCCAGCTGCTGCACCTCGTCCTGCTGCAGACCCTCCTCCTGCGTGTCCCTCATCTGCCGCCCCGTGTGCAGGCCTGCCTGCTGTGTGCCCACCTCCTCCTGCTGTGGCCCCACCTCCTCCTGCCAGTCCAGCTGCTGCCGCCCGTCCTCTTGCATGTCCCTGCTCTGCCGCCCCGTCTGCTCCCGCCCGGCCTGCTGTGTCCCCACCTCGGCCCAGACATCCTGCTGCTGACTGGACATGTCTCCCCAGTGCCAGCCGGGCTCAGGTCTCACCCTGTGACAGTGGTCCTCCCAGCCACCCCTCAGTCTGGTCCTCAGCAGTGTCAGGTGGCTGCCCCCAATCAGGATCGGGTCCCCTGGTCTCCACTGTTTTGAGCTGACCTCTGCTCCCAGGAGCCCTGAACCTCAGTCTCCTGCCTCCCAGGAAGAGCCTCCACCTGCCCTGGTCTCCTGCCATTCCCTCCCAATTTCTTGTTCCATCACCTGACCTGCACTTTGACCTGTCAGCACCTCCTTTTGCACCCCAATAAACTCGCTTCACCACCTGAGCGCTTCCTCCATCTGATTTCGTTGCCATGGTGGCAGTGGTGAGAAACGGGGTTCTCAGCAGACCTGGGTCTCCTCCAGCCACGAGTACTTCTAGGAATGAGTGACTGAGCGATCACAACGCCTACGACCTCTGGGCGGGACTCTCACCCCGACCCAGGAAGGTCAGTGGAGGAGTGGCCAGAGGCCATGGGACCCAACCTGAGCCCGGTGGATTTTGCTGATTAGGCATTAAAATGATTATGAGGCACGTGGAGGCTTTGAACTTCCTTAGAATAATGGTTGCATGGAACTCGGGTCGCAGTGTTGCATGGGCGAAGACTTGTAAAGAATGGCACTGTCATTATCGTCCAGGTGTCATCACTTTCAAGTCTTTACTCTTTCCACCGTGTTAGGCAAGGAATTTAGAGACTCCAAGTTGCAATGGCTTATAGGCATGTATACATGTGTCTGCGCAGCTCAAGTGGCTGGGGTGGCTGGGGTTTGGGGGTCACGTTGTGTTTGAAGTCACCATTGTGGAGGGGTTGTGGTTTTTAAATTTTGGTAAAACACTCATCACCTGAAGCTTACTTTTATTTTTATTGTTTAAAGTATTACATATAGTAATACATATATCTCCTTTCCCCCCCCCCCTCCGTTGACCTTCCCCCAGCCTCCCCTATCCCCTGTCGCATGCCTTCATACCATCCCCCATGTCTTGTGTCCATTGGTGTGCATACATGTCCTTCGGTTGATCTCTTCCTCCCCCTCCCCAACACTCCCCAGCCTTCCCGCTGTAATTTGACAGTCTGTTCAGTGCTTTACTGCCTCTGTATCTATCTTTTTGTTCGTCAGGTTATAATGTTCTTCATTTTCCATAAATGAGTGAGATCATGTGGTATTTTTTCTTTCATTGCCTGGCTTATTTCACTTAGCATAATGCTCTCCGGTTCCACCCAGGCTGCTGCAAATGGTAGGAGTTCCTTCCTTTTCACAGAAGCATAGTTTTCCATTATGTAGATGTACCACAATTTTCTAATCCACTCATCTGCTGATGGGCATTTAGGCAGTTTCCAAATCTTGGCGATGGTGAATTGTGCTGCTATGAAGCTTACCGTTTTAATCATCTTTACGAGTACGGCTCAATGGCATGGCGCACAGTCACACTGGTGAGCAGCCATAACCACCCTCCATCTCAGAACTTTCTCATCTTCCCAGGATGACTCTTTTCCCATTAAACATTGGCTCCTGCCCCGGCCCCTGGCGCCACCTCTGCACTCAGTATCGGTGGAAGCCTCGGCTCCAGGGACCCCGTGTTAGTGAGATCCTGTAGCCTTTGTCCCTTCATGACTGCTTGTTTCACTCAGCGCAATGTCCTCGGGGTTCATCCCTGCCGATGTCGGACCTTCCTCCTTACGGCTGAGATGCTCCATTCCGTGGCTGGGCCACATTACCTATGCTCATCCCTTCACCAGCCGTTGGGCAGCTGGGTTGCTTCTACGTGGGTAATGCTCTTGTGAGTGAACCTGCAGGGAGCACTGGTGTCCGTGTGTCTCCCTGAGTTCCTGTTGGCAGTCCCTTTGGACTTACAGCAGAGGGAATATCGGATCATACAGTAGCTCCGTTTGTAATTTGTGGAGGAAACGCGCACTGTTTTTTATAGGGGCTGCAGCATTTTACCTTCCCACCCGCCGTGCACCAGGCTCACATGCTCCAAGTCCTCACCAGCATGCTGCTTCCCGTGTTCCTGACCCCAGCATGGCCATGGGTGTGAGCAGTGCTCCTGGCTTTATCACACACAGGGCCCTGCCCTCACCTGCCCACCTTCACCTCCCACCCTCCCGGCCCTGCCCGCACTGGCCTGCATTCATCGGCTGCCCTCTCTTGCAGAAGAACGAGTACCTGTTCACGGTGGTGGCTGAGGGCCCCGACGCGCTGCTGCTGGGCCTGCGGTACTCGCCCACCCGGCTGCACTTCCTCTTCCTCAGCCAGGACGCGGCGGGCGCCTGGCAGACCCGCGTGTCCTTCCGCAGCCCCGCCCTGATGGACAGCCAGTGGCACACGCTGGTCCTGGCCGTGTCTGAAGACTCCTTCTCCCTCACCACGGACTGCGGCGTCCCCGTGGACATGTAGGTACCGGGACGCCGGGGAGGGTCTCCTGGTGCTGAGGGCTGCCCGACATACAGTCCGGAGTGGACATCTGGGGGCAGCTCGAGTGTGCAGGGTGGGCCGGAGGAATCGGGTTTGTGGGGGAGCCCTGGCAGCTGGAGTGCCTGGGTCACCAGCAAGTGGACAGCACACCTGCCTCCAGAGAGGGTGTGGGGGAGCCGGACAAGGACAGATACCAGTAGGTGTCTGGGGAGGCGGGGGCTGGCCCTGGGCGGGGGCTGAAGTGTGAGTCCAGGCTGAGCTTACCCGGGTATATGCCCTTCAGGGCGCTGTCACTATGACCAAAGGGCCACAGAGGAGGAGCATAAGGAACTTGGGCACCAGACCCGGCTCGAGGCCCAGGTCTTGCTGTGTGATTTTCAACACGCCAGTTAACCTCCCTGACTCAGTTTCCTCATGTGAAATAAGGGAATAAATATTCATTAAGACTCCAGATAAACATGCGGAGGAATCCTGAGTAACTCTGACACAGCCCTGGGCACGGGGAAGCCCGAGTTTGTGTCTGTCCTTGCCAGCACCTCGTTTGGGGCCAGGGACAGCGAGTCCCCGTGGCCTGGCCAGCTGCTGACCCATGGACCTCCGCATTCGTCCTTGCTGAGCGGGGCTGGAGACATGTGCATGTCGAGTGGTCCAGCTTACTTTAAACCTATCATTATACCAAATAGTACTTTCAAAGGTAGACTCTTACTCTGCTTGGTTATTACGAAATTTGTTCCACAATCAAAAGAATCCATGCCATGTATACACTTGGTCTAAGCCAAGTGTCTTATTCACCACCACCCCACCCCCCATCCCCACCACCACGCTCTCAGCTACACCAGAGCCCTTATAGGACCACGGCTGCTCACGGCCGAGCGCCAGAGCTGACACCCATGTGGGGAGGGTGCAGAAGGCCAAGCCAGATGGGGAACCGGGGCTACAGCCATGGTGGCCACGGAAAATTTCAGGCCCCGGGCTTCACAGGCCAGCACTCAGGCCACCTGGGAGTTGTGCGGACACTGGGCTGATCTCACCACGGCCAGCCACAGCCAGACGGCAAAGACTGGGAGGAGCAGAGGACCTGGCACCAGGTCCGGGAGACGCTGGGCAGTGAGGAGAGAGCCTGCGCCTGGCTTTCCAGCCCCGAGAGCCCCAGCCACATGGTCCTCTCCCACGGGGTGCCCGCCTCCTCACCTTTCCCCAGAGTTTGCCCTCCCCCTGCTTGCACATCAAGACCCAACTCCAGCCACATTTTCCAACACCCTGAAGTCACCAGAGAGGGAACCCCATTCTGTCTGACACCATCTGTCCTCCCACCCCCGGGGCTCAGTGGAGGGTGAACAGGCTGGAAACCCTGTGCCTGTAGGAGCCACTGGGTGTTCCGTGAAAGGGCGAGAGACTCGTGGCAGCACATGCTTTTGCAGAAGGTCCCCATCCTGGGGTGAAGGGGGCCGCCCTAATCCATGTCCCACAGAGCCCGGGGCCTTATTGAGAGACAGCACCTTTGCAGGTGTTATCGGGCTCAGAGGAGGTCACACTGGAGAGGGTGGGTCCTGGCTCAGTGACCGGAGTCCTCCTGAGAGAAGAGCCATGTGATGGTGAGCGCAGGAAGTGAGCGATGCAGCCACAGCCAGGAGCCCCAGGAGCCCCCAGGAGCAGGAAGAGACAGGAAGGACCCCTGTGGAGCTAAATGTTGGACTTCTGGCCCCGGAACTGGGAGGGAATGGACGTCTGTGGTTGAAGCCGCCCAGCCTGTGGTCCTTGGTTACCGTCACCCAGGACACTGGCACATCCCACATGTGGCACTGCTCTGTCCTTCTCTACACAAATGGCCTGCACTGCCGAAACCGGTTTGGCTCAGCGGAAGAGCGTCGGACTGTGGACTGAAGGGTCCCAGGTTCGATTCCGGTCAAGGGCATGTATGTTGGTTGCGGGCACATCCCTGGTAGGGGGTGTGCAGGAGGCAGCTGGTTGATGTTTCTCTCTCATAGACGTTTCTAGCTCTCTATCTCTCTCCCTTCCTCTCTGTAAAAAAAATCAATAAAATATATATTTTTTTAAAAACAAAAAAAACAAATGGCCTGCACTGCTCTCTCCCACGGCTAAAACCCTCACCCTCTGTTTTTAGAACTGCCGATGTGCCCTTCCCAGCCACCCTATCGGTGCAAGGAGCCAGGTTCTTCATCGGCAGCCGGAGGAGGGCCAAAGGCCTGTTCACGGTGAGTGTGGTCCGGCCACCTGCCTGGCCTCCCCACGCCGCTGTTCGCAGAGGGGCTGTCACCGCGGGCCTGCTGTCCCGATGCTCTGGCTCCATAGATTATCGTCTGTCAGACAGGAATGAGGAACACAAGGCTCCGTGGAGTCCCACACACGATGGGGCACACCTGACACAGGCCTTTGCACTCCCAGGTCCCTCTTCCTGGCCCACACGTCCCCTTTCCCGCCCGCACGTCCCCTTTACTGCCCACATGTCCCCTTTACCGTCCACACGTCCCCTTCACTGCCCACATGTCCCCTTTACCGTCCCCTTGTCCCCTTTACTGCCCACACATACCCTTTACCACCCACACGTCCCCTTTACCGCCCACACATCCCTTTTCCCGCCCACACGTCCCCTTCACCGCCCACGTGTCCCCTTTCCCGCCCACGTGTCCCCTTTACTGCCCACGTGTCCCCTTCACTGCCCACGTGTCCCCTTCACTGCCCACGTGTCTCCTTCACTGCCCACATGCCCCCTTTACCACCCATATGTCCTCTTTACTGCCACAGCGCACATCCTAAACGCTCGGGGCCCTACCCCCTGTCCTCTTACCATGGAGGCCTTTCCCACCACTGTGATAAGATGACCCCACACCCAGCCCTCCCAGATCTGACCCCTGGCTCTTCATCTTAGCCCTGACCACCTTCAGACCAACTGTGGGGTTTTTGCTCATTGTCTGTCTCTCTCCTAGCGTGGAGGTGGGGGAGCCTTGTTCCTGTGTGTCCTATGTCTAGAACCATGCCTGATGTATAGCAGATGCCCTGAGAATATTCACTGATGGCATGCTTGGATGGATGGATGGATAGATGGATGAATGAATGGATGGATGGATGGTGTATGGATAGATAGATGGATGGATGGTGTATGGATGGATAGATGGTATATGGATAGATAGACAAATGAATGGATGGTGGATGGATGGATGGATGAATGGTGTATGGATGGATAGATGGGTGAATGGGTGGATGGATGGATAAATGGATAGATGGTGTATGGATAGACAAATGAATGGATGGGTAGATGGATAGATGGGTGAATAGTGGATAGATGGATGGATGGTGTATGGATGGGTAGATGGGTGAATGGGTGGATGGATGGATAGATGAATGGATAGTATATGGATAGATAGACAAATGAATGGATGGGTGGATGGATGGATGGATGGATGGATGCTGTATGGATGGATAATGGGTGAATGGGTGGATGGATGGATGGATGGATAGATGGTATATGGATAGATAGATAGATAGATAGATAGATAGATAGATAGATAAATGAATGGATGGGTGAATGGATAGATGGGTGAATGGTGGATAGATGGATGGATGGTATATGGATGGGTAGATGTATGAATGGGTGGATGGATGGATAGATATATGGATGGATGGATAGGTAGGTGGATGGATGGATGAATGGATGGTGTATGGATGGGTAGATAGATAAATGGGTGAATGATGGATAGGTTGGTGGATGGATGGAAGGATGGGTGGGTGGGTGGATGGAAGGATGGTTGGATGGATGGTGTATTGATAGAAGACAAATGAATGGATGGGTGGATGGATGGATGGATGGATGGATTGATAAGCATTGTTGGCCAATAACTCTAGATTCATCCACAGGAAAGTCCCTTTGTGGTTAATGACCTTAAAAGTGTGCCTAGTTCTCCACTGATGCACCCAATGCCCCCCATAACCTATGCAGACTCGTCCCTCCTAGCTCTAGAGATGGCTAGTGCCCCCCCTCCCCCACGGCATTTCCACTGTCTCCCAGGGTCTGAACACACTGTCCCTCTCTCCGCAGGGCCTGGTCAGGCAGCTGGTCCTGCTGCCCGGCTCCGACGCCACTCCCAGGCTGTGTCCCTGCAGGAATGCAGAGCTCGTGCTGTCCATCCCCCCAATCCTGCAGGGTCTCACAGGGAAGCCGGAGGATAATGAGGTGCTGAAATATCCCTATGGTTAGTAAGCCAGAGCCACCTCTCCCACCAGAAGTCCGCTTCCTCTGGAGCCTCTGACTTCCACCTGCTGCCTGTTTGTCCCCAGAGCAGCGATGGGGGCCCTTTCTCCCATCCCTCCCCGATAGACACCACACCTCAGCCCCTGCCCCAGTGGGGGCCCCGCCTTCACAGGATACATGTCTGTTTTCCATGAACCCCCTGCCGAGAGGGTCCCCAGCTTCGCTTTTTTAATTTCTGTTTGCACCTTCCCAATCTAAAGGTACGAGGTTGAGTATTTATTATTTTAAAAAATACTGGTATGTTTTTATTTACTTAAGAGAGAGGGAGGGAGAGGGAGAGAGAGATAGAAGCATCAATGATGCGAGAGAACCACTAACTGGCTGCCTCCTGCATGCCCTACACTGGGGATCAAGTCTGCAGCTCGGGCATGTGGCCTGACCAGGAATGGAACTGTGACCTCCTGGTTCATAGGTCAATGCTCAGCCACTGAGCCCCCATGGCAGGGCTGTTGACAATTTATGTAAACCACAGCCCTTGCCAGGGAGAATCCAACCCCCTCACCCACCTAACCCCCCACTATTCGGCGAGGTGGGAGGACAACCTGGCCCTCTCCTCAGCTTCACTGGGCACACCCCCGACCTGGAGCGGGTGACACTGAGAGCCAGTCCCGAAACTGTGTTTTCAAGCCCCTGGGCTGGAGGCCTCTGGGCATCTTCCTCGGGCGAAATGGACCGCTGTGACAAACGGTGTTCTCAGGGGGCAGGACTCGGCCTCCAGGCCTCTGCCCCGTGCTGAGAGGGGTCAAGGGCATGCTCAGTGTCACAGCCTGGCCTCGGGCCTGGGCTGCAGGGCAGATATCACTTTGAAGTGGCCAAGTAGCGCCATTAGGACGTGTGTGTTTGACCTGAGATGGAGGCGTCATTCCAAGAAGACATGGGCTCAGATGCCGCAAAACGAAGCAAAACGGAAGTTTAGATAAACTCGTGCCCATGGGGCATAGGATTTTCAGAAGAGCAGGAGGCGGGGGGAGGTGGACATGCTGCTCTGGAGCCACGGGGAGCTTTACCACGTCCCGCCACGTGGATGCCCTGGGGCCGGCCACACGCCCTGGTCTCCCTGCCTCCTGGGACCCGTTTAAGAGCCTGAGTGGGTCCTGGGAGCCCAGCTTCAGAGACAAGGGTGGGACTGCCTCCTGCAGGGAGTTCGTGTCCACTGGACACTCACCAGGCACCTCCCTGTCTCCCCCAGAAACCGACATGAAGGTGACGCTGGGATCCCGGCCTCCGTGCACCAAAGTGGAGGATGCCCAGTTCTGGTTTGACGCCGGGCAGAAGGGGCTGTACCTGTGCGTGGGCAGCGAGTGGGTCTCCGTGCTGGCAGGTGCGGTGGACAGGGAGGGCGTGGCTCCCGGGGCTCTGGAGACAGGGGCTCTGCTCAGAGTCAGCGTTCCCTGAGAACAGGAGGCACCCCACCCAGAGCAGCAAGCCCCCACGTTTCCTCTGGAACCATGGGCCCTCCTGGGCACCACAAGCGGGCTGGCAGGGCTCGCCACCTCCCCTCGACCCCCCTGCCCAGAAAGAGCTCGGGACTCCCCGGAGCCAGCCTCCCTCGTGGGGCCCTGCCCACCCTCCCTCCTCGCACCCTGCCTGTGCTCAGATCATGATTCAACATGACGATGCCAGGGAGCCGAGGGCGTCATTGCCGCAGCAAGCTTTGCGGCGATCCATTCCTTTCCTTTTTTTTTAATTCTCACCCAAGGATATTTTTTCCACTGATTTTTTTTTTTTTTTTTTTAGAGAGTGGAGGGAAGTGAGGGGGCTGGGGGAGGAGAGAGAGAAGCATCCATGTGAGAGAGACACATCAACGGGTTGCCCTCCATTCGCATCCAGACCAGGGCCAGGGATTGAGCCTGCAACCGAGGTATGTGCCATTGACTGGGAATAGAGCCTGAGACCCTTCAGTTCATGGGCTGACGTCTAACCACTGAGCAAGCCATCCAGGGCTCCATTCCTGGCGTGGGAAGGGGGAGTGAGGTAGCCCTGAGTGTCCACAGCAAAAGGGGACTAGCTCAAGCTGAACTGCTCTCCAGCTCCTGGGTCACCTTAGGGCAGTGGTCTGCAAACTGCAGCTTGCAAGCCACATGCGGCTCTTTGGCCCCTTGAGTGTGGCTCTTCCACAAAATACCACGTGCGGGCGTACATACAGTGCGATTGAAACTTCGTGGCCCATGCGCAGAAGTCGGTTTTCGGCCTGGGCGAGTCTGTTTTGAAGAAGTGGTTCTAACGGCAAGCCACACTCAAGGGGCCAAAGAGCCGCACGTGGCTCTCGAGCTGCGGTTTGCCGATCACTGCCTTAGATTATAGCCTTTGTAGCCGCAGTGAGCATGGGGGATGTCTCATAAGACCCAACACATTGGGGTTTAGTGACCTTAGAAGGTGAGTACCGTTGGGGCTCGCCAGATCCTGAAACCCACACAAGCCGAGAGGGCTTCCCAGCAGGCCTCTGGCGGTGACCAGGTGCTCTGAGCAAATTGCCCTTGCCCCACGCTAATGCCCCCTTGTCCGGGGTCAGGGCTCAGGGCCCGGGGTCGTGCTCCCAGGACGGTGCCTCCAGGCTTCTGTGCTGGGACACGGCAACCATGAACCGCATCTCCCTGTCTCCCTCCCCAGCCAAGGAGAGGCTGGACTACGTGGAGGAGCACCAGCGCCTCTTCACGCACTCGGAGACGCTGGGCATCGAGGTCTTCGCCATCCCCGAGGCCGGGCTCTTCATCGCCACCGCCAACCGCAAGGCCACGTCCGCCATCTACAAGTGGACGGACGGGGCGTTCGCCTCGTACCAGAGCATCCGCACGCACCAGGCGCAGTCCTGGAGGCACTTCACCATCGGGAAAAAGGCGAGTCGTGGCTCTGCGTCCTTTCTGAGCTGGAGTCACCCACAGAGCCCGGAGGGTGGGCTCCTGACACGCTTCTCCAGGAAAACGTGTTTCTCGTGGCTCCAAAGCCTTTGTCGGGTTCAGACGGCTTCCCCGGGCAGACACTTGGCTTTGTCTCTGCACCCAGGCGGGGCCTTGAGAAAGTCTGTTCGGCTCCCGACACACTAGGAAAGGCCATTTGCTAAGATGCCGCCCAGGTAGGGTGCAGGCTATCTTAGACACCTGTGGGGGTCGTTTGACTTGGACCAGTCCACCAGGCAGAAGTCATGAGAGAATGCAATGGATCCACCTGCCTGATCCTGCCCTTTCTCCCACAAACAGGCCCCAGAGGCAAAGACCCTCGAGGGCAGCCCCTCGCCCCCCCATTCCAGGGAGGGCTGCACCGAGAGGGCCTGTGGGTGGAGGGTCTGAGAGGACCTCCATCCCCTTCCAGATGAATTTTCTCCCAGCTCCTCCTCCGTCCTCCCTTCGAAACAACAGTGTCTTGGGGTCACCTTCCCATGCCTGTCCCTCAATCATTCACTCACCTACACACGTGCCGGGCACAGCCCTGCCCCCATCTGGACCCTCCCACCGGGGTGGAGCCGTGAGCAAGCAGACAAGCCCCTGCCCTCCGGTGGCTGGCTGCCCACCATGGTTCTGGCACCCGGTCCAACACGGTGAATGAATGATTCACTCTCCCATTATTTGGTTGATGTTTTAAAGGTGCTTATGTTTTGATTATCAAAGTTTTATATAAAAGAAAAGTAGGGAAATTTGGGAAAACAAGGGGGAGAGCATCTTCAGGTTGCTCAAGCAGATGCAGGACTTACCTGGGCATTCTGGCGCCTGTTACAGCCACATAAGTGCACGGTCATGCCCGCTGGCCATGTCACATGTAGTGGGGTTTCTGTGTCCTACTCGGCTGCGTGGCAAACACCGCTTTCTCGGGGAGAGTAGGGATTACGATCTTCCCAACTCCCACGGGTGATGAGGAACCCTTTTGTGATGAAGCTTTTCCTGGGGTTGGGAGGTAGACATGGCAGCAATGGACTGGCGAATACGGGCACATAGAAGGATCTGGAGGCAGACAGGCTCCCAGGCCGCCGAGGCCCTCAGTAACAGGGGGGGGCTCAGCCTCTGTCCCTGCACCTACACACACACGTGCTGGGTACAGCCCCGCCCCTCCCTCGACCCACCCACTGGGGGTAGAACAGACAGACAAACGCCTGCCCATGCGGACAGAGGCCCTGGCTGCGGGCAGGGAGCCGAGTGTCCCGTCCTCTCTTGCAGATCTTCCTGGCTGTGGCCAACTTTGACCCCAACGAGAAGGGCCAGGAGTTCTCCGTCATCTACAAGTGGAGCCCGAGAAAGCTGCGGTTCACGCCCTACCAGAGGGTGGCCACCCACAGCGCCCGGGACTGGGAGGCCTTCGAGGTGGCCGGGGAGCACTTCCTGGCCGTGGCCAACCACAGGGAAGGTAGGGCTGTGACCTGCCACCTGGAGGTGACCCTCCCAGAGGGGGCAGGACTCCCTGCAAGGCTGGTCTTCACCTCACTAAAAACGATAATAAATCACAGCAGCCCGGTTCCTTGGGCCCGGCCACCTGATGGCGGCCGCTGAGGGCGAACGCATCTAAGCACCTCCCATCTGTCCAGGTGGGAAGACGGTGGTCGGTGCCTGCCCCCAGGAGAGTTGCCATAGAAACGAGGGCCCCCTGGCTGCCCAGGCTGCCTCATTTCAAACTAACTAGTAACTGAGTAACTGACTAACTAACTCACCTCCTTCTGGGAGGAACTGAGTGACATAGAGGGAAGGTGACCACTCTGGTCAGCCGGGGGACAGGGTGTGGACAGGTGGAGGTGTCTCTGGAAGGGCATGGACCAGGTTTCTGAAGACAGGTCAAAGTGTGCACATAGACCCTGTGAAATGTGGGTATGATTGGGGATAGGCTGGGAGGGGCCCACAAACCTTGTTTCTGGGCCAGCATTCACCTCCACCCCCACAACTAGTGACCTCGGCAAGCCCTTCCCCATCCTGAGACTCAGGGCCGGGCAGGTCGAAGGTGGCCTGGCCCTGCAGGGCACCTTAGCTTAGCCTCAGTGGGCTCCATGCTCAGAGTTTCCCTGAGCCTGAGGTCCAAGAGGGAGCTTTGTGGGGGCCTGGGGAAGAGCCCCGACCACCTGCTGATGGGCAGGGCGACCCTAGGGGCCCGCTCACCAAACTCTCCATGGAAGCGAGAGGCTGGCCAGAGGGGCCCCAGGGAGCATGCGGCCTGGCCTGTGGGAGAGATGGGAGCCAAGGGGGTCCTGGGCTGTGACAGGTGAGGCTGGGGGGAGATAGGGGGCTCCACTCCAAGACCCTGAAGGCCATGGGGAGGGCCTGAGCCACCCAAAGGGGAGCCCCCTGAGGGTTTTCAGCTGGGCGTCCTCGCTGGGGAGTGAGAGGGTGCAGGAGAGTGTGGGGCGACCTGGCCACACCCAGAGCGGCCCAGGCCTGGCTGGGCTGGACGGGCAGCGGGGCCCTGGGGCAGGGTCCGGGAGGCCAGGGTTCCGCCGAGGTCACCGTGAGGCCCCCTCCCTCACCGCAGCCGTTGGCTTCCAGGAGATAACCACAACATCGACAGCGTCATCTACAAGTGGAACCCGCAGACCCGCCTGTTCGAGGCCAACCAGACCATCGCCACCTCCGGCGCCTACGACTGGGAGTTTTTCACGGTGGGGCCCTACTCGTTCCTGGTGGTGGCCAACGCCTTCAACGGCACGTCCACCAAGGTGCACTCCCACCTGTACGTCTGGCTGGTCGGCTCCTTCCAGCTCTTCCAGTCTTTCCTGGTAAGGACCTGCCCTGCACCCGGTGCCCCCAGGCGCCTGCTGATCCCACACAGGCCTGGTGATGCTTTCACCCTGATGCCTGCACCCCAGGTGCCTCCCCCCGAATAAGGCTCAGGTCATGTTGCACACAGCAGTCCCCAAAAGAGCCTGGGGAGGGGTGCGCTGGCTCGGCTGTCCTTCTGTCACGAAGGTGTCCTCGCTGCACCAGGTGCTCAGACTGGCCTCCTGGCTCTGCTGTCTGGCCACCTCTGGGTGCCAGGCTCCTGCCCTGGGGCGGCTGGGCAGCTGACCTCTGACCTGGCCACATGCAGTGGGTGGGGGCAGCACTCTCCACACTCCCTCAAACCTCGATGTCCCTCAGCTGGTCCCGGTCGCCATGGGCGGGCTGGCAGGACCCGAGAGCTGGGCTGCAGACGTATTTATGAGGGTGGGACAGCATCAGACACCCTGCAGACCGCACATGTCCCAGGCGGCTGTGACGTGGACCATGACAGGAGCACAGGGGCAGGGCGGGGCATGTGTGTGCCCATTGAGGGGCAGGAGCTGTGGCCCCGGTGAGAAAGGTGGCAGCACCATCTGGAAGCTGCGGAGGCTTCCAAAGCCAGGAAGCCGAGCTCACGAGCACTTTGCCTGGACAGTGCGGCCAGGAAGAGCCAGCACAACTCCAAGGTTAACACTCAGGGTGCTGCTTCCCAAGTGGGGAAGCAGGGCTAGGATGGGCATTATTCTTTTTCTTTTTCTTTTCTTTTCTTTTTTTTTTTTTTTAAATATATTCTTATAGATTTCAGGGAGGAGGGGAGAGGGAGAGAGAGACAGAAACATCAATGATGAGAGAGAATCACTGATCCACTGCTTCCTGCACGTCCCCTCCTGGGGGTCCAGCCTGCAATCCGGGCATGTGCCTTGACCTTCTGGTTCCTAGGTTGGCGCTCAACCACTGAGCCACACTGGCAGGGCTGAGGCGTTATTCCTGAGCAGTGACAGCGGGCCAGGCTCGCCGAGCAGGGGCCTCAGAAAGCTCGGTGCCAATAGCTGAACCTATTTCTTCCCACGCACAGCCGCCCTGTGAGGTAACTCTTTTTAAAATACATTTTTATTGATTTCAGAGAGGAAGGGAGAGGGAGAGAGAAACATTTGTGATGAGAGAAGAATCACTGATTAGCTGCCTCCTGCATGCCCCACACTGGGGATCAAGCCCGCAACCCAGGCATGTGCCCCGACCAGGAATCGAACCATGACCTCCTGGTTCATAGGTTGATACTCAACCACTGAGCCACACTGGCTGGGCTGTGCAGTAACTTCTGCCACCAGTCCCCTCTTCTCATGGGAAACTGAGGCTCGGGGGTTAACGGACTTGCTCTGGTCAGAGCCGGGACTGGAGCCCAGCTGTGGTGCTGTGTTTATTCAGCGTGGGGCAGGTCTTTCTCAAATGCCTGGGCATAGGCCGTTGTTGGGGTGCCTAAGCACGCAGGGACTCGGGGACACAGCGCAGCCGTCCTGGCGAGAGGAGGAGGTGCTGGGGTGCATGCTGATCGGAAAGGGCTCAGCAGTGGGCTGGCGGGGTCTGCCCAGGGTGACGGGATCTCTGACTGGAATTAGACCGAGGAGGTCAAAGGCGTCTGGGCTGGGGTGGGCTGGACAAGACGGCGGTGGTAGAGCAGTTCCCGAGGAGCCCGGACTAGCGGGGACCGGGCCACAGGGAAAGGGCCGCGTGGAGGCCCAGGCAGGGGTGCAGGCGACAGGCGACAGCCGTGCATGTGGAAACTCCGTGGGCTCTAAGTTAATCACACGTGTCACCAAGGCCCTGTGGGTGCCTGGGAAGCAGGCGGGGTGGCAGCGCCCCGGTGAGGTGCCCGCCCAGGCGGGGTGAGGGCTGTGCAGCTGCAGCTGGGCATCCTGGGAGCTTGGGGAGGTGGGCGGAGCCGGAAGGGATCTGAATCCTGTGGAAGGAGGGACAATGGTAGGAACCAGAGACTTTGTTCTGGAAGAAGACTCAGGTGATTGTGTCCAAGTCTCCAGCAGGTGCGCTGGGGCCAGAGCCGAGCTCTGTGGTGTCCTGGAGGCAGGGCTGCAGCCTGGCACAGGAGGGGCAGCTCGTGGCTTTGGCCCACCAGGCCAGGTCCTTGGCAGGCCCAGACCATCTGTGATGGGGGGAGGGGGAGGGCTCCTGTAGTGGGTTGGGGTCATTTGGGGGATTGCCATCCTACGGCTACCAACACGGTGATCCTAAATCGCCTACATTTGAACAAGAAGATGCACTACGACAAAAGGCCGATTTAGGAAGGTCTTCCTCCCAGCTGGAACCCAAGGACCTCCTTGCCCACACTGGCCCGATGACCCGGGAGCCCAGCCACCCTCGAGGGAGGCTGTCAGGGGCTCTGGGGGCTCCGGGTGGCACCATCACCCCGAGAGGTGCTCCCGAGCCCCCGGGCGCCATGCCAGGGCTGGCGGGGCAGGCTCCGGGGGAATTCCGTGGGAAGGAGGGAGGGAGGGGAGAGCCCGCCAGCCCAGCAGGTGCCTCAGGCTGGTGCAGCCCCAGGCAGCTTCAGACCTGCTTCCCGGGGTGAGGGGAGCCCAGTCTCCGGCCCAGCTGCAGGTGCTGCCACTCTGGGAAGCTCCTGGCAGACACCCTGTGGGGGTGAGAGGTCACTGACAGCAGTGACCGTGACCCAGCCAGCCCCAGACAGGTCTCTGCTTGCCTGTGGCCAGATGAACTGCAGAGTGCCTGCTGCATTTGCATTCTAGAGCGACATGGAGTGACTTTTTAATAAAACCATGTCCTGAGTATTGCATGGAAACACAAGTCGTGGAAAACTGTTGTTGCTCTGAGATTTTCATGGTATCGGCTCCCACCAGCTGGGCGCACAGAGCTGAGGCAGGATGATGGAACCCTGAGCGACGCCCATCTGACACTCCTCCTTGCCTCCTGCCCCATCACACCCCGGGACCTCTTCTCCCGGCCCCCATTGTTCACCTCGGGAGAAGGGAGCGGTCTGAGTCCAGTGGCTCAGAGCCCAAGGAAGTCCTGGCCACCTGGGCGAGATCCTCTTCCAGCTCCTGGCCCCTGAGCTGTGTGGGAGTGCCCGTGTGCACGCATGCATGCAGGAGTGTGTGCATAGGTGTGTGTGCATGCAAGTGTGCACACACAGGTATGTGCATTTACTCGTACACACGCATGGGACGTTTCCCATTGACATGGTTTCCCCAGCACAGGTCAGAGGAGCTGGGACCTAACAGTCTGGCATCTCCTGTTCTGTTTCTGTGAAGTCACCACCACATGTGTGTGACTTTCGGCCCCCTGTGGGTCTGTTACTGTCGCTGTCCGTGAAGCAGTCACCGGGCGGGGGAGTGTGGGGAGAGAGGGGTGATGCTGAAGGCCCCTGCGGCCCCCAGGGTCCCAGCCTGCTCAGAAGTCGTGGGGCGCCCCAGGGAAAGAATGGTGCCCCCTCCCAGAGCCGCATGGAGGGGAGGACCCGCTGATCCAGGAAAGCCTTATGGAGCTCCTGGCCCCTGGGAGGGAGCAGGGGCTGCCAGGTGTCCTGGTTCCGGTCCTTGTCCTAGTGAGTCATCCTTTGGCTTCACCTCACTTGGCTCCGCTCCTCAGGACCGATCCAGACCTGTGTCTAAAGCTCCTGGCTCCCAGCCCGGCTAGGGGCCCCCAGGAATGTTCTCAGACAGCAGCTTCATGGGCTGGGCCGAGGCGGACAATGTCGCCCTCTGCTGGGTGTGAGAGGGGAAACACTGTTCCCTGCCAGAGTGCACTGTCGGGGTCTCCCTCTCTCACCCCTGGGCCTCTCCCTGCACCTGCCCCTTGTGCCCCAGGAAAATGTCTCCTTTCGTTTCTGCCCTGCCCTCTCTCTCTCCTGAGTCCAGGCCTGGGCCTGGATGTGGATTTCGCTGGTCCTCTCCTCCCCATGCACCAGCGCCACCATTAGGCCCCAGATGCTGCCTGTGAACTACACATCACTTTCCTCCTGGGGGGGGGGGGGGCTACATGCAAATCAGCTCATGCAGCTCGGGGTCTGGGGCAAAGGCTCCACAGCTGGCCACTCGGGCCACAGACCAGCCCTGTGGACCCTGACCACCTCAGCCCCGAGGGTGACAAGTGACTTAGGAGCAGTAGCGTGCGGGGGGCATCCAGAGACGGGGCTGTGGGGGGAACCTCAGGCAGGAACACAAGAGATGCCTAGAGGTTGCTTCAGAGTTCAGGGCCAGCCTGGAGCAAGCAGGGAGGGCTCCCTGGAGGAGGTGTTGTAGCAGCTAGACCTCGAAGGAAGGGCAGCACTGGGGCCTGGGGGAATGGGTGGCACAGGTGGCTGAGAAGCAGTCCCCTCCGGTGGCACAGTTCAGGTACAGGCACAACTGGCACTCGTGTCTGTAAAGGGAGTGAGAGTCGATGGCTTGGGAATGGAGTGAATCCAGGCTGGGGACCTTGCCAGTCGGGCTCGGCGGGGTGTGTGTGTGTGTGTGTGTGTGTGTGTGTGTGTGTGGCGTCACTTGGCGGCTCCCGCAGTCTTTGTTCATGAGCGCGGCCTGCACCCCTCTCCCTCCCTCCCAGACATTTGGCGCCGCGGACTGGGAAGTTTTCCACATTGGAGACAGGATCTTTCTCGCTGTTGCCAACAGTCACAGCTACGACGTGGAGGCGCAGGTGCAAAATGACTCCTACGTCATCAACTCGGTCATCTACGAGCTCAACGTCACCGCACAGACATTCGTCAAGTTCCAGGAGATCCCGACCTGCAGGTACGGCCGAGCCGGGAGCCGGCCGGGCGGGAGGGCGAGGCCGGCCGGGCACAGCGCCCGGTGGGCTCACAGCCGCCTTCCCCAGCGCGCTAACCACTGAGCACACCCCGAGGAGGCAGCACGCCCAGCCTCACGCTCGGTCCCCGAAGCCACACACGGTGGTGCCAGCACCGAAGGTGGCCTGCATCCCTTGTAGGCGGGGCAGAGCCTGGCTCTGCAAACCTCCTCCGGGCCAGTCCAGGGAGTCTGGGCTCCTGTTTATAATCTTGACTCTCATTCCTTTGAAATGGTGTGGCTCGTTCTTGACACTTCAGTGGTTTGTGTTAAATTCACAGGGATGTTAAGGTGACCAGACGTCCCGCTTCTGGCGGGACAGTCCGGATTTTTAACAATTTGTCCCCCGTCCCCAGGTGTTTTAAAAAAGATTTTTAGCAATTTGTCCCCCGTCCCCAGGCGTTTTTAAAAAGATTTTTAACAATTTGTCTCTGTCCCGAGGCGTTTTAAAAAAGATTTTTAGCAATTTGTCCCCCGTCCAGAGGCGTTTTAAAAAAGATTTTTAGCTATTTGTCCCCCGTCCCGAGGAGTTTTAAAAAAGATTTCTAGCTATTTGTCCCCTGTCCTGCGGTGTTTTAAAAAAGTCCCGATTCTTGGAAAAAAGAATCGGGACTTTTTTAAAATGCCGCAGGATGGGGGACAAATTGTTAAAAATCGGGACTGTCCCGCCAAAAGCAGGACATCTGGTCACCTTAGGGTGTGTGCAACCATCACCACAGGTGCTTTCAGAACATGTCATGCCTGGGAGAGAAACCCCTGCCTTTAGCAGTCACCCCTCCCCCACGGCCCCCAGCCCCCGGCATCACCCGCCGGCTGCCCGTGCGCGCGGATCCCTGAGGTGGGCATTCACACGAAAGGACACGTGTCATGCTTCCTTCCTGTGTGGCCAAATGAGCGGCATCGTGTGGACAGGCCACAGTTCACCCACCCAGTTGCCCGTGGGTGCACGTGTAGGTCATTTCCACCATTTAACTAAACGCAGCTGCTCTAATGAGTAAAACACCCTCAGAGGAGAGTCAGGGTGACGGTGGTCACGCTGCCTCCAGCTGAGCAGGAAGCCACGCTGCACACCGTCTTCCCCCTGGCGGGGTGCAGGCTGTGAGCGCCTGCTGCTCAAGACTTTTCCGAGGGGCTTGGGATCAGAACCCAGTTACGACGGGAGGAACCACTCACATGGGATGACACCACGGGCCCTGCCCGGGGCCACGCCTCTCAGGCCGCTCCTCAGGGAGCAGAGCTGTGGCCAGCACCGTGGGGCTGAATCATACGTGGCCACGGGTGGAAGGGGCCGAGACGTGATCCTGGCCAACAGGAGAAGGAAGGTGTGAGGTGCCCCAGGGTGGCCTCAGCCATCCCTGCGTGCCCCCAGGACCTCCCAAACACCCTCTCGCTCTCGGTGTCCTGCCTGAGCTCCCTGCTCTAAGCCAGAGCTCTCAGTCCCCGCCGGAAGGGAACCTGCAGTGAGTCTCCACCAGACAGGGGGCCCCTCTGCTGCCCGACCAGGCCGCAGCCTGAGGCCACCAGACTCACTGGCCGGGCCTCGGCCTCTGACTGACCAGCGTGTGGCTGCAGCCTCAGTTTCCTCACCTATAAAATGGGCGCAGGGCCTGCGGTCATCAGAGAGGTAATGGTGGGGCCTTCTAGAGGGATGGGATTCTGGAGAGGTCCTCCAGGAAGTTACCTGTCAGAGCCCCCAGGACTGACCGAGTCTGTGCACAGACTCACCCTTAGCAGACTCAGTCAGTCCTGGGGGCTTTGACAGGTTAGAGCTTTCCAACTAAGACAGAATGCACGTGTCCGTTTGCAACAAGAAGCACAGCTCCCAAGTGCAGGGGGACCATTCCTATACGGGCACCTTATTGGTGTCCGGAAAGAAGCGAGAAGTGGAGCTGGAGAGGCTGTTTGACAAGTTTCCTCACGCTCCCACCTCCAGGGTGCTGCAAGCGTCTAGGAATGCCCTCAGCTTAGCACTTTCCCGATTATATCAACCTCTTCGGAGTGAGAGACTCAGTGCCCATCTCACACAGCACCGTTCACACTGGCAACCCACGTGTCCGTCCACACGGCGGAATAGCATTCAGCCTTAACGGGGAGTGAAATTCCGGCAAGGCTGACCCATGGGAAAACCTAGAGGACAGCACGCTGAGTGAAATAAGTTGGACACACAAAGACTGGAACGTTCCGGAGGTGGATGGTGGTGGTGGTTGCACAACCCTGTGAATGCGCTTGCTGCCACTGAGCTGTGCGCTTACAAGTGGTTAAAATGAGCCCTGCTAGAGTGCTCAGCTGGTTGAGTGTCATCGTCCCACACACCAAAAGGTTGCCGGTTCAATTCCCAGCCAGGGCACACGCCTGGGTTGCAGGTTAAATACCTGGATGGCAACCCATCGATGTTTCTCTCTCTCTCTCTCTCTCTCTCTCTCTCTCTCTCTCTCTCTCTCTCTCTCTCTCTCTCCCCCTCCCCCCCCCCCCAGCACATCCTTGGGCGAGGAATTTTTTTTTTTTTTTAAGTGAATGACTAAACTCCCTGTGTGGCTGAGAAAAATCACTCCCTTCAGGCCTGGCCCCCCCTCTCTGTGGGTTTGGGGTGGGACCTGGGCCCCATGTTCTGGGATTAGGAGAACTGGCTGGAAACCAGCATCTAAGCTCTGGTATACCTCGGGCTCCATACCCTAATGTCTGTTTCCTAACATTGGTCCTTATTGCTGTCCCTTAACTCTGGCCCCTAGTGCTGTCCCTAACGTTGGCCCCTAATGGCTGGCCCTAATGCCGTCCACTAACGCTGTCCCCTTGCTCCCACAGCGCCCTGGACTGGGAGTTTTTCTCGGTGGGGGAAGATTACTTCCTGGTGGTTGCCAACTCCTTCGACGGAAACACCTTCTCCGTAAACAGTATTATTTACAGGTAAGCAGCGTGGCAAGGACTCACCCTTCTCCCCACCTGGTTCACCTGGGGTACACTGCTCTTCCTGCCTGTCACAGGCCTGGAGCCCATGGGTGGCCGGGAGCCCCGTGCCCCAGTGCCGGCCCTGTCCCGGCCATGCCCTGGGTCGGCCGGGTGACCGTGGCCATGCCGATGCTCACCTCTCTGAGTCCGGCCGGGTGCAGAGCAGACACAGGGTTCCATTCCACGTCTCCACCCAGGACGCCGGCCGGTCTCTCCACCCGGCAGGCGTCCTCGGTAACGGTTCACGTCCTCACCGGGCGCCGTGCCATCCTCGCTAAGCTCCCTTCTGGCTGCTGCTCACGTGTTGTGAGCACAGCGCCTGGGTTTTCCATTCCCGTCTCCGGCTGCTTTTGGTGACCCTTTCTGTGCCTCGCCACCCGACCGAACCACCAAACAATCGATTCTGATCACTTTCCGGAGCAGGGACTCGTGGGAGTGCCGAGCACACAGCGGCCCCTGTGATAAAAGCAGCTTGGCCTCTTTCCTGCTCCTGTCTGCACTGCCTGCCTGGCCTTCCCAGCAGCCAGAACTGCCAGGAGCACCATGAGGCCCGCAGGGCGGCCATGGTGAGTGCAGGCCAGGGTCACAGGCTGGCCCCCGAGTCCGCATGGTCCCGTTCACGGCTCTTCCCGGGGAACCTGTTGGCACAGTGACTTGAGAGAGGTTTCCTCGAATTCCTGGGACCAGTGCCACTGGATGCCGTGTAATTACTTCACGTGCCAGTGGCTACCGATTGTTTCAGGATGATTTAAGCGTTTTGCATCTTTAATAGGAAATGAAATTGCTCTGTGGTTTCCATCTGGGGCCGAACGGTTACCCAGTTTGAGGTGGAGCCTAACTTAACAGGTGCCTGCTCCCACGGTTCCCACCAGGCCTCGGGGCTGGAGGAGTCTCAGTGGTAGGATTTTGTTATTTTCTTTAGGATTAGGTTGCAAGCCACCTGGGCCTGGGCCCTTTTCCAGTGTCCCCGGGGTCACTGGTGTCATCAGGCCTTCCGTCTCCTCTTGAGACAATTTTGGTCACTCGTGTTTTACTAGAAACATCAACTTTCTTTAGGCTTTCTAATTATATATCTACTCGCTGAAGAGTGTTCCACATGACAGTATGATTTTAAAATTAATTAAATGTATTAAGGCTAAATTTTCAAACATGGCCAAGAAAAATGGGATAAGAATAAAAACAGTGGAGGCGGCTCTGGCAGTGTGCAAGGGAAGCAGTGTGGTTTTTGCAGAAACAAATCTGTAGGGGGGTGTAATACACACCCCAAGAAAGCCAAAAATTATGGCCATTTAATGTGATAAATGTTGTGTTTCAACTCAATGCAAAAAGGATGCATTACATAGTAAAATGATTTGTACATCATTTTCTGTCCATCTGGAAGAAAATAAATCTCTATTCCTGTTTCAGATTATTCAGAAAAAAATAAGTTTTATGAAGATTAGGCATCTAAATGTAAAAAATTAGACTATAGAAATATTAGGAAAAAGCTAAGGTGATTTTGTTATAACCACAAAGTTAGATAAGGAAATCTCCTTAGATAAGGCTGGAAATAGGTCCCCTGGCTGACTACACACCTTTAAAAGTTTTAAATGGAGAAAGACATCCTATTCAAAATCAAAAGGCAAACTTTACCGAATTTACAACAGAAAAGGAACCCCTACAAAGTAATAAAAAAATTTTTTTAATTCAGAACAATGGACAAAATAGATGAGCAGGAATTTTCAGGAGAAAGCAATGGAAGACATGAATAAACATTGAAAGTTGTTACTCTTTTTTTTAAATATTTTTTATTGATTTTTACAGAGAGGAAGAGAGAGGGATAGAGAATTAGAAACATCAATGAGAGAGAATCATCGACCAGCTGCCTCTTGCACACCCCCTACTGGGGATGTGCCCGCAACCAAGGTACATGCCCTTGACTGGAATCGAACCCGGACCCTTCAGTCCGCAGGCCGATGCTCTAGCCACTGAGCCAAACCGGTTTCAGCCAAAAGTTGTTATTCTCAAAGCAGGAGAGTGACACATTCTCTTCCCTTCCTTCTTCTGGGAGTGGTGCGTGGAAGTGGGGGGGGCAGGGGATGGAACCCTGGCCCTTTCCCCCCAGGACAGGGGTCACCGGCCTTTCTGGAAAGTAGTTTGGAAAAACAACAACATTAAAACGACTCATGCCCTTGCACCCGGCCCCCCGCTGTGAGAATGCCACCCTACAAAAGTTGGAACCTCCTGTTGGTAAATCCCCTTGGAAGGCAAAACCCAGGCACCGCTGACTGCATGAGCCTCAGGCCAGGGGCTGGTTCCGGATCCAAACCTGGGGGGTGGGGAGGGGCGGAGTCGTGTGCCGGGAGCGTGATTCCTTCACTGAAAAGCGGGGGCGCCATACCCGTGGGGTGACAGGTGTGTGTCTGAGGGCAGGCGCCTCCATGTCAACTGTGACCCCAGGAGAGGGGACGGGTGGGCTTAGCCCCTGCAGTTACCCATTGAAACTGCCCCCCTCTGAGTCCCCATCCCCCACCCCCCACCCCGCCCAGTGGCAGAGGCCCCAAGGGCACTCTGGGCTGGGACCAGTGTCTGGGTGGATATGAGGAGCTGCAGGCTGGTGGGCAGGGCAGGTTCCTTCTTCCAGGCCCTAGTTTCCCTCTTTGCAGGCTCCGAGTCTAGCTCTCTCTGAGCGTATAACCGGGCAGCTGTGCCGCCCCCAGGGGCTGGGGGACAGGAGCCCGGGGAGTGCACAGCCTGGACGTGCAGGCAGCCTCTCCCGCCCTGCGAGCCGCCTGGCACAGGCCGCCCGCCCGCGCTGACGTGTGTCTCCCGCAGGTGGCAGGGGTACGAAGGCTTCGTGGCTGTGCACAGCCTCCCCACCTTCGGCTGCCGGGACTGGGAGACCTTCCGCACCACGGCCGGCTCCTACCTCGTCTACTCCAGCGGCAAGGAGCCCCTCTCCCGGGTGCTGAAGCTCAGGACAGGGTGACGGGCCTGGCCCCCGGGCACAGGACCCACCTCCCAGCACCCCGGGACCCCACCTGAGGAGCCCCGAACCTCTGGGGGTATGCACCTCGCTTCCAGAGCCACTGCCTCGCGGGCCTGGCCCTCCTGCGACAGGAGACGTCTGTGCCCTCTCCGGCCGGTGCCCACCACGGACAGAATCGTGGACGGCTCGTGGGCGTTCACCGGACACCATTGCTGCCCTGCGTGCCGGGGTGCCCTGCGGGGAAGTCACTTTGCAGGAAAGCTCGTACAGTCGTTTACCTCACACGCAGAAGCCCGGTCACCTCCCCGCGGCGTCAGCTCGGGGCCTGGCCCCTCTGGCCTGGCCGTCGAGCCCGGACGACGGGGAACAGGCGGGATGCCGCCCTCCACGTTCCTACAGCTATTTATTGTACGTTGTCCATGCTGAAATATATTTATGACTCTCTACACAGAGCAGCTGCCTCTGCGTGTGTCTGGGGGGCCTGGCTCTCAGTGAGCACGGCCTGAACCTCGCGCTGCCACCAAAGCGGAGGCACCCTTGGGTGCCCAGTCACCAGCGTGGCTGGAGGGCACCTCACCTACACAGACTGCTTCCTCGGGCCTCCGTCCACCCTCACGGCGGCTGTGCGTGCAGGATGGCCTGGGCTGCCTCCTCCAGGCCAGTGCTCCCCCAGCTCTGCCTGAGCACCCAAACCCTCCACCGGGTGGGGGGAGGGGGGTAAGGGGAGGCTGCCTCCCTGGGTGCTGCTGGGGTGACATACACCCTGGGAGCCTGGAGGGGGCAGAGGGGCCTCGGAGTGGGTGGAGGTGCTCCGTGCCAGAGGCTTTGCTGCAGAGGCCCCCAGGGTCCATGTGGAGCCAGGAGACCCCCGGGGGTGCAAGGCCAGGCCTGTCCCACTGTCCGTGCCGCCTGCCCAGGGAGGTGACTCTGCAGGGGGGATGTGGGAGCCGGAGCTGAGCCGCAGGAAGGCCCCACGCTCTGCTGTTTCCTCCTTAAAACTCTCAGTGATTTTTGCCCAAGATCACACAGCCGGGGCACAGCGGCAGCTCTGGCCCTGGAACCCTGGCTCGCCGGGGCACAGTTCCCCAGGAGGACAGGGCGGGAGCCCCACCGGCCAGGGAGGAGGCCCGCCTGAGCCTGCTCCTCCTCCATCCATCAGACCTGGGGTTTCCAGACCCTGAGCAGGGCCCTTCTGATTTCTACAGGCTGAGGTTTTTCTAGAGCCTCCTTCACGCCTTGGGGAGGGTGGGACTGACCCCAGACAAGGATGTCCCCTCCCCAAGGAGAACAGCAAAGGGCAGGGGTGGGGACGGGGAGAGGTCTGGGCCAGGCCAGGGGACCTGTGAGAGAGAGGTCTCAGGCTCCTGCACCCCTGGGTATCCCACTCCCACCTCCAACACACTCATTATTCATTATTTTGGAGAAAGAAGGTATGCCCTTCACACCAAGTCAGACCTCATGGCAGCCTCCCCCATATCGCTGTTGGACCCCACAATTCTGCTGTCACTGTCCCTTAGGCCTGGCAGTATCCCTGCCCTGGGCAGCCAGGGGCCCAGAGTGTTTAGTCCTTCCCTCCTGCCACTTCCCAACCCCTGAGCCTCAGTTTACCCCTGTGGGAGGGGCAAATTGGGCACTGCCCCTGACCTCCAAGCACCCCCCCCCCTTCACAGCTTCTCTCTCCCTGGGGTAACCCAACCGCCCAGTTTTCTCTCTGCCCTGAGGGTGTCACTGCAGGGTCTGGCTCACCACAGGGACAGGATGGGGGGTGGGAGGACTGGCGCCCAGAGAGGAAGGAGGCAGACACACCGGGAGCCACCACATCCCTGCCGAGGATTCCTCAGCAAGCAAAGGGCACCACCTCTCCTCGGCACAATCTTCATTCTCTTCCACTGGCTGGAAACAAAACCCACAAATCAGGTCTTGTTTAAATTATGAATGCAAACAGGAGAAGGGGCATGCAGGGAACATTGAAATATTTATATCTTTTCAAGACAGGCGTGCTGGGTTTTGTCCGGCGGATACACTGTTCGCGGGGCAGCCTGCGGTTGCAGGTTAATTTGCAGGTTTGATGTGCTACGTGCTCGTCTTTCTGATGCGCGTGTTGTGTTTCCTGCACCATCGCCCCCACTCTGCTGAGCTGGGCGCCTTTGTAAACCCACGGGGGTCCTTCTCAACAGTCTTCGCTGTGATAAAGAACAAGCCCTCTAAGAACATCTCAGCACAAATTGCATTTTTATTTGGAGTTGCTTCTTCGAGGCCCGGATTTCTGGAGAAATAATTTCCACAGCAATTTTTGCATCTGCTCCTGACTTCCGGGGCTTCTCCTGAACCCCGGACAAGGCCCAGGACAGCCAGATGTGCGAAGTGGCCCCTGCTCCGCTGGTCCTGCCAGGACCGGGCGTTTCTGTCTCACCGTGTGCCAGGCTGGGAAGTGGAGGGCTGCTGACAAGCTTGTCTTGTTTCACCGTGGCCATCACGCCTGGTGTCAGGGCTGCTGGACTTTTCCTGTAGCGCCCGTTAACTTTGCCAACACCCATCCCTTGCCCTCCACCACATACACACGCACGCACACACACACACACACACACACACACACACACACACACGCATGCACGCACATCCCACCTATGCACACATATCCCACACATGCACACACATACAATGCCAATCAAAATCCCAAAGCTTGCCAAAGCCGGTTTGGCTCAGTGGGTAGAGCATCGGCCTGTGGACTGCAAGGTCCCAGATTTGATTCCGGTCAAGGGCATGTACCTTGGTTGCGGGCACATCCAAGAGGCAGCTGGTCGATGTTTCTCTCTCATCGATGTTTCTAGCTCTCTAGCTCTCTCCCTTTCTTTCTGTTAAAAAAAAAAAAAAAAAAAAATATATATATATATATATATATATATATATATATATATATATATATATTTAAATCCCAAAGCTTGTCCTTTTTTTTTTTTTTCTTTTATTAGAGAGGATTTATTTGATACTATAAGTGGTTGGATGTTGAACATCCTGTAGTAAATCTTTTTTTTCTCTTTATTCCCCATTTTTTTATTAAGGTATTACATGTGTATATATCTTCCCCTTGCCCCGCTCCCATTCATGCCCTCACCCCCCAGTGTCTTATGTCCATTGGTTATGCTTATATGATTCATACAAGTACTTTGGTTGTTCTCAGCTTGCCCTTTTTTAAAAATGTGTGTGTTTTTATTGATTTCAGAGAGGAAAGGTGAGGGAGAGAGAGAGAGATAGAAACATGCATGGTGAGAGAGAATCATTGATCAGCTGCCTCATGCATGCCTCCTACTGGGGACTGAGCCTGCAACCCAGGCATATGCCCTTTCCAGGAAACAAACCCAGGACCCTTCAGTCCACAGGCCGATGCTCTATCCACTGAGCCAAACCAGCAGGGCCCAAAGCTTGCCTTGTTAATTAATGAAGAGATCTCTGGAGCATTTCAAAGAATTAACAGGCAGAATAAAATAAAAAATAAACTTTAAAAAAAACGGAGGAAAGCTTGGCCTCTAGGTATTAAATTATATTAAAATTAAACAAGTCAACCTGGTTGTTGGCATAACCTGGTAAAGTTTAAGTTACAGATACTGGAAAGCAAAAGGCTCTAGAATGGATTTCCCCCCTATCTGGAGGAAATGTTTCACCTTCCTAAAGGTAAGACAATGGAGGAAAATGGAAGGGAAGATGGAGATGACAGAGAGATGATTGCACATCTGTCGAGTACATACTGTTATGTCAAAACGTAAGCAAGTGGAGGAGGGGCGCCAGCACAGATGGATGATGCTATCGGCACGCCCGGGGCTTGGTTCATTCCGTCAGTCCTCGGTCTGAGCAGCTCTAACAAACCCGGGAACCAAGGCCCACACGGGACCCAGAGCAGAGGGCATGAGCAGACATTCCCAACAGAGGGCATCCCAGCGATGAAAACAGACTCAAGTTCTGCCGAGTTCCAGCCACGGTCAAGGCCCCTGAGTGCCACAACAGCAGGCACCCCGGGCCGGCGGCCGCGGTGACCAGGACCTGCCTGGGTCCAGCACGGGGGCTGCTCAGCCGCTAAAACGGAGCCAGGCACTGCCTCTTGGTTTGCGAGAAGAATGCCTCAGGGAAAACTGCAATCTTGGTGGCCTCATTGTTGTGATGTCCAGACCAACGGACTGGTTTTTGAAGACGATGTCTCAGCTCAGGGCAAGGACGGGAGGCTTGGCGACCACTCTAAACCCTTGGTCCAGTGACTTCTGCAGGGGCTGGGGAGAGACTGCAAAGTACCGGGGGGGGGGGGGAGGCTGGGGGGGGGGGGGCGGAGTCCCTCTGACCACCCGCAGGGTGACCCTCTGGTCAACACCACTAATTCCGAGAAATCCCACAGAGAGACGGCAGGACCCAGCCCTGGCGCCCAAAAGTGGGCGCAGAGAGGGTGGTAGCTGAGCCAGAGACAGTGCAGGTGCCGAGGGCTCTCGCGAGCAGGACAGCAGGTGCCAGTCCAAGGTGGGCACCTCCAGCCCACCCGGTGGATGGGGAGGGTGCCCTAGGGGGGCCAGGCAGGGCAGCCCCTAAGAACTGTCTGGAGGGCCTGGCCTGGCTGCCCATCCTGCACGCGGCCCCTCAGGGAAGTCCAGTGCAGAGGCGACCGCTGCCCAGAGCCGCCGCCCGGCCCTCGTCACTGACCCTCGGAGGTCTGAGTGTGTGCGGTGGACAGGGGTGGAGGGAGGAGGATGGCAGGGCTGAGCAAGCATTCTCATTGGTTCCCCTACCCTGGGCTGGCTGGGAGGCGGGAGTGGATGTGTCTTCATATGAAAGGAGACTTCAGTGGCTGATGACTGTCTCCTGACTCGCCTGGGGGTTCGCCTGCCACAATACAAACGGGGTGAAGGGAGAGATCCCGCATCCGTCAATAAAATCACTGTGCTGGTCTCCCTTCAGGGTTCTCTCTGCATCTCAGTGGCTCCGCCTTCCAGCCTGGCTGCTGGCGTCTGTCTGCCGTCCACGGCTGCCTGGTACACCCCAGCTCAGCATACACCTGCTCCTGGGGACCTTGGACAAGTCATCTCACCTGCCGGTGCCTCAGTGTCCCCAGTCGTCAGAGTCAGTCGTTAGCATGGCCTCCGGAGCCATCTTTCCAGCGGTTCCTGGTTTCTCCTCCGCTGCCTCTGTGCCTCCTCCTACCCCCCTCCCCCCCCGCCTCCCCAAGAGCAGCTGAGCTGGCAGGAAGGTCAGCCCAGCGCCTGTCACTGGGGGATGCTCTCACCACCTCCCTTTGCACGGAAAGCAGGCTAGCATTGTCAGCTGTGCTTGGGAGCGGGACCTGAGAGCCAACCCAGGTCCACTCCCTTTCCTGCCAGTGCTGTTGCCATGGTTACAGATGCAGCATCCCAGACTGGACTGCGAATCCGGCGGTCCTGCCTCCCGCGCTGGCCCCTCCCCGGCCTGAGGCTGAGCTGAGGTCTTGCCTCCTTGTGCCGATGATGCTTCAAGGCTCGTGTCTCCTGAGTGAGAACTTCCAGGCCCAGACGTCAGAGCGCGGATTCCAGGCCGGCTCTGCCCCAAACAAACCGCCTCCTGACGCGTCATTCCCCCTCCGGGCCTCACCACCTCGGACGGAACGTGGAAATGGCCTCTATCGGGCCAGGCCGCTGAGAGCGTTAGCCCAGCCCCGGATGGCTGTCCGGGGACTTCACGGTTGCTGCCCGTTCCCAGGGGCCGGCCGGCCCGGGGCCACCCCGAGGTCTGAGAGCGGCTGCAGACCTCCCTGCTGTGTCCCACAGGGTGTGCGTCTGGCCTCACCCCGGGACCCAGCCTCTCGTGCCGTGGGCTCGCAGGCCTGGCCCCGCTGCCCGGCCAGCTCGGCGGGGAAGGCAGGAAGGACTGCAGGAGAGGTCTGGGTGGGGGCATGGGGGCCGCGGAGGGGCAGACAACGGAATCCACTCCAGCCGATTTAAGCACGAAGTTTATTGAGGGCCCAGAGAGTGGGGAGGACGGTGGGATCAGACTTCAGATGGAACTTCCAGGGGGAGGACTCCCGGCCCCACTCCAGGCTGCTGCCATGGCCGGGAACCGCCTCAGGTCCAGAACATTCCACCTCCCACGGCCTGTGCCAGCAGCCCCGCCACCCCCAGGTCACTCAGTCCAGGATCAAAGTTCCTGCAGACGCTTCTGTGATCAGGAGAGCCGGTCAGCAGGCAGGGCCGGTGCCCAGTGCCCATGCGGGTGCCCAGGAGTGTCCGGCTCTGCTCACTACACCCCTCTGCCCCATGAGGAACCCCAAAGTTGTATGGCCTGGACCCCCAGGCCCTATGAAGGGCCTATTACCTGAATGGCAAAGAGAGCCGGGAGCCACTCTGACCCCACTGCCCTCCGACTGAAATGGGCCGGCAAAGGCCTCCCTCTGGCCATGTCACTACCATTGTCAACACCGGTCCCTGGACGGGGCCAGCCTGACCCCGGCCTCTACAGATGTATGATGGGGTCAAACACTGGACCCAATGGGGTGAGGTGGAGTGAGGAAGGCTGCGTCAGTCCAAGGGCCCAGAGGTCACCCAGGGGCCCATACCCAATATGGCAGCAAAGAGTGTGGGGGTGCAGGCAGGGCATCATCCTAGGGGGTTCCTTGTGGGAGAGGAGGGAGGAGAAAAGAGAAGAGGAGGAGAAAAGAGAAGAGGGGAGGGCTGTGCCCTGAAACAGCTCGCAGGCACCGGGGCTGGGGCTCCGTGAGCAGGAAGGAGCTGGGGTCTTGGAGTGGAGGTCCTGGGGGTCTTCCTGGAGGGAGACTCCACGAGGGGCGAGGAGCCCCAAAAGGCTGGCGGTGGGCAGCCCCTGACAGCTCTCGAACCCCTTGAGTGCTCTAGGTCCTCGTTCACCTCCCCGCTCCCGCAGGGTCCATCCAAGGGAAGGTGGCCTCGGGCTGGGGGCCAGCAAAGGGTGGAGGGGGAAAGCACACCTACTCTCCATGCACCCGGAAGAGCCATGTGTGGTGGCATCAGGGTGGCTGATTTTGGGGGGTAAGAGAACATGGAGTCCCTAGCAGCAAGGAAGGGCCTCCAAAGTGCTGAGGCTAGTGGCACCCATAGGACACGAGAGGCCTTGGCAGGACCCTGACACTCCCCTCTGCCCCGGGGCCCGAGGTGCTCTCTTCCCCTGACCCAGGGGTCACAGGTCACAGCCATCAGGGAGGCCCTCAGGAGGTGAGCTCCTTGTGGGGTGGGGCCCTGTCCCCACCAGGGCACATGGGATGGGTGGGGAAGGGGACCCAGATCGCCCAATGAGGCGATGTCCTGCTGGTCACAGCCTTTGTCACACGCGTGGACAGACTTCCTGGTTTGAGTTGTCACCGGGAAGGTGGGCAGAGCTGTGGGCTGGCAGCCTGTGGGGCAGCAGGTGGGCATTGATGGCCGAGTCAGCCCTGCCTCCCTTGCCCACCTGGCCCCTCTCTTTACCCTGCACCCCCCCCACCCTGCCCCCACGAACACAGGCACAGCGCCTCAGGCTGCGGGAGGCTCTCTGGAACCTCTCAGAGGGCCCTTGGTAATGCACTGTGTCCGAAAAGTCACAGCCGTGTTGGGACTAGCCTTTTGGGTCTCTGGTGCACGGCTGGGTCCCCGGATCGGCGTGTAAATTCGACCCCACATTCATTGCCCTCGGAACTTTCCAAGCACCCACCACCCGCCATCGTTCATCGCTTCGGAGCTTCTGCTCGATGAGGCTTCTGTCCTCCATCCCTTCAGTTCACAACGATTTATCCCTTTTTGCTTACCGCACCCCCCCCACCCCGCCAAAAAAAAAAAATTGTTCAAAATAGTGTAAAATATAAACACTCATCAAAAGACAGTAACCTAAAAAGGATGAATCAGTCATACAGGTGGAGGTCACGTCTACCCGGGACGTGTAGCGGTATAAGAAAATCAAGCCCTCACTGAGCTCTGAGAGTCCTGGCAGCAAAGATGGAGAGAGAGGGGGGAGGAGAGAAAGAGAGGGAGGAGAGAAAGAGAGAGAGGGAGGGAGAGGGAGAAGGAGAGGGTGAGGGAGAGGGAGAGAGGAGAAGAACTTGTTGGAGAAAAGGAGGAGTCCCGTTGATTGGCCTTGAAGCATCACTCATCAGTCCTTCCTTGGAAAGGAGCTGTGGTGTCGGTGAGTAGAAAAGCAAGGCACGGTGGCGACCAGCGGTGACCGGCCTTCCCACCAGCCGGGCAGACAGCGGTGGGACTCGGGCGGGCCGAGCTTGTCGTGTTCCTCTCTGTGGTGTTTTTGGTTTCAGGTTTGGGATTTTTTCCCCCCTCTCACTGGACTGAAATTTGGGTCCAAGTGTTAACTCTCACAACCGTTCTGAGAATAAGCACGGCTGTTCCCTCCCTTCTCTCTCTAGAAAGCCTGGCCTCTCTCCTGTTCGGCTCTGGACAGACTCTGCGGTCCCATGTGTTCAGGAGACACTAGGGGAGCAGAGGCGAGTCCGTCCCACAGTGCAGGGTCACCTGTGCCTTCGACAGGCGAACCTGCACCCCAGACTCCACCGGGGCTATTCGTAGTCGTGGACACAAGCCCTTCCTTCTCTGGCTGCGTTCACTCCCACGGGCACCACACGGGAGAGGCTTGTGAGTAGAAGGGGCATCTTGGAGGCAGCCTGGTTTTGAGTCCCGACCGGATGGTTTCCTGACTGTGTCATCACAGGCAAGTCAGTCCGTCCTCTAAGTTTCTGTTTCCTCCTCCGTCAGCGGGTCTGAGGGGAGCGTTGCCTGGCTCGAGGGGCGTTACGGTGACTTGGTGCAGCTGGAGGAAGTGTTTGGCCAGAGTGCACTGCACAGAAGCAGCTGTGACTACCACCTGGCCAGGAGAACGCCAGGAGCATGAGCCCGTCACCACCTGCCACAGGGTGATGGCACTCAGCGGGCACTAGGATGCGGGGCTGAGGGGGTCCTTGGACACGGGGGTGCTGGGCAGGGACTTGAGGTACTCCAGGTGCCTCCTGGCATCCTCCTGGTTCTGACGCACGTAGTACACGACGTAGGTGATCACCATGGCGAACCAGCCGAACATGGTGACCAGCATGGCCACGTCGGTGGTCTTGTGGTGGGTGCTGCAGAAGCTGACGCCGGCGTCCAGGGCCTGGATCAGCGGCTTCCCCACGTACTCCTCCTGCACGGAGGTGTGGCAGGCGATCTCGTCCACCGAGTCGGGGTCCAGCTTCAGCTCCCACAGGGCCTCCTGCAGGTCACACTCGCAGTGCAGGGGGTTGTGGGACAGGCGGATCTTGGCGCTGAGCTTGCCCAGGGCGTCCTTGGGGATCCTGCGGATGCGATTGTGAGACAGGTCCAGCAGCCGCAGGCCGCCCGCCAGGCCCGAGAAGGCGGCGGGGCCGATGGTCTCGATGGCGTTCTGGGACAGGTCCAGCTCCCTCAGCTGGCTCAGGTGCTGGAAGGCTCCGTTGGGGACGCGGGCGATCTTGTTGGCGTCGAGCTTCAGGAACACGGCGTTGGCGGGGATGTCCTTGGGGATCTCCTGCAGGCCGCTCGCGCTACAGTGGACGGCCACGGCACCATCGCGGTCGGGGCACTGGCAGCTCTGCGGGCAGGAGGTGCCCAGGCGGAGGCAGAAGAGGAGAAGGAGGCAAGACCCTCCCATGGGGGCCGGCGCCGATGAGAGGCTCTGCTTGCCCGCGGGGCCCATCCTGACCACACCTGGGGGCAGACGGCTCTGGCCCGCTCCTCTGGCCGGGGGCTGTGGGCCTACATCCTTCCCCACTTCCCCAGGCGCTGCTTCCGATACGGACGTAAACTCCTGTCCTCGCCTGCTGGGAACACGTGTTTTCTTCCGGTTCTAAAACAGAGGAGCAATCGGCATTGTCCACGGGGTTCAGCCGGCACCCAGGCACCCCTTGACTTGGAGAAGACACCACAGGCAAATGGAAGCCTCTGACCAGTGTGTGTGTGTGTGTGTGTGTGTGTGTGTGTGTGTGTGTGGTGGGGGGTGGGGGGGAGTCTGTAACTTATTTCTGGGGACTCCCACTGCCTCCAGAAGAGCAAGAGCAGGCTCTACTGACCCCTGGTTGGGGGAAGCGGGGGAGGCACCCATCAGCGCGGTGGGACAACCCTGCCACCTAAGCTGGACACACCCTCTAGACACCCAGGAACCACGGGCCTGGACAGCACTGGGGGATGGCAGTCCGGGGCCCACCCCCTCCCTGCCCCTCAGGGTGGGAATGGGGAAGACTGAATGCAGAGCCCGAACCAACCTACAACCACAGGGGAATCAGCAGCTCACCACTCACGGCCAGGCTGCTGCAGAAGCTTAGCACTTTGCTAATTTTGACAACCCTTAAAAATCATCATAATGCATAAAGCTCTCCTCTGCCCGCCCTAGCGGGAGCAGCCACCCGCCCCTGCCCCGGGGCGGGCGCCTTTCATTTCTGTTATGCTTGGGAAGGAAGGAAAGGGAGAAAAGAGAGCAGCCGAGCCCTGGGCGCGCGCTGCGCTGGGGCGTGGAGTGGCGGGGCCGCGCGGGGCCTGGGCTGGAGGGGCTCAGACCCCGGGGACCCCGACACCCACGGGATCCCCAGGGACCCTCGGGACCCCCCCAGGACCCTGGGAACCAACCCGGGCGGGGAATAGACAGGGATGCGGTGTCCACACTCCCGGGAGGGGCGGGGGCTTTACCTGCGCGGCCGCGAACGGAGGCTGCTCCGCGCGAGGATCTCCGTGGCCCGGAGCCCTCCCGGCGGCGCCACACCCTGGCGCGGCGGAGACCCCGAGGCCGGCACCGGGGCTGCCCGGGCTCAGCCTGCACTTCGCGGGTGGGGCCTAGGGGCGGGGCCTCGGCGAGGCGGGGTGGGGCGGGGCCAGGACGACGCGGGAGCCTGAGTGGAGGGCGGAGCCTGGGGGCGGGACTAACGGGCCAGACGGGGAGGGGTCGTGGGCGTGGCCTGTGGGAAAGCGTGGGGCGGGGCTGGGTGGCTCTTCTGGGTGGGCGTGCCTCGGGGCTGTGGGCGGGGCCATGGGCGGGGCCTAAGGGTGGGCGGGTCCGTGGGCGCACAGAGCCCCGCCCCTCCCGGGTCCACCCAGCTGCGCGCGGTGGGGTTGGGGGCGCGGGAATCCGCTCTTGTCGCTGACACCTGCAAGCAAGGGGCCTGCAGACCTCGGATCTGCGCGAAGCCCTTGAGGTGAGACCCTCTTGCGGTGCGTCCCTCGGCCCCAGAAGCTGGGGCTTGAAGTGGGGTCTCCACCCCCCCCTGAGTCCCCTCCTGCCCAGGACTCTCACTCCACCCCCACCTTCTGTGTGTTAGGGACCGTGCACGTGGGCCTGGGAAAGGAAAGGGCATGGGTAAGCGGCGGCATTTAAAAGCAGCTGCATTTAAAAGCAGCTTTATTGTGGGGTGGTTGGTATACAACTCCCACACTTCTAAATTTGGTAAGTTCTGACATTTGTATATACTCGTGAAACCATCACCGAAATGCACTCAGTCCATGCGCCAGTCCCACCCTTGGTACCCCCTCCCCTCCTGAGCCCGGTCCGAGGCCAGCACTGATGGGCCTGTGGCTGTAGATGAAGTTTGCATTTCTTAAAATTTAATGTACATGGAATCACAGGTTTGTGCTTTTGGGGTCTAGCTTTTTCCTTCAGTCGGCATGATCATGTGTTTATCGAGTTATTCCTTTTAGGGCTAAGTCATTCATCCTATGAATGTTCCAGTTTGCGTGTCTGTTTGCCTGTTCCTGGACATTGGGGTTGTTTCCATTTGTTGTCCGTTACAAATAAAGTGATACAAACATTGTGTCCAACCCATGTTTGGAGAAACACTCATTTCTCTTGGGTAAATAGCTAGGAGAGGAATGGCTGGGTCACCGGTAGCTGTACGTTTAATTTGAAAGAAACTGACGAGATGATTGTACCACTTTACATTCCTGCCCACAGTGTGTGCTCACACCCTCACCAGCACTTGGCATGTCCACCTTCTTAATTTTAGACACTCTTATTAGGTGTGTAGTGGAATCTCCTTGTGGTTGGAATTTATACTTCCCCTGTGACTAATCATGGTGAGCTTCTTTTCAGCTGTTTATTTGCCATCTGTATCTTCTTTAGGAAAGTGCTCTGTTCAGATCTCTTACACACCTTTAAATGGGTTGTTTTCTTTGAGTTTTGAGAATTCTTTATATACACTGGATACAAGTTCTTTATCAGATAAGTGATTTGTAAATATTTCCTGTGAGTCTATGGATTGTCTTCTCATTCTCTTAAAAGCTTTTCAAAGAGGTTTTACTTTTTATGAAGTCCAGTGTAGCAATTTTTCTTATATGGATGGTGCTTTTCGTGTCATATGTAAGAAACCTTTGCCTAACTCAGTCACAAGGATTTTTATAGTGTAAGTTTTGCCTTCAGTTTTAATATCCAACTTGAATTAATTTTGATACATGATGTGAAATGAGTCCAAGTTTATTTTTTAATATTCAGTGTTCCAGACTGTTTGTTGAAAAATTATTTCTCTACTGAATTACTTTTGTACTTTTGTTGAAAATCAGTGATTCATATCTGTATGAGTCTATTTCTGTATGCTCCGTGTTCATTTGGTCTATTTGCCTATTTTTATGCAAATGTTCCGATCTGTATTCATAGCTGGATCTTTATAATAATTCTTGAAATCAGAAAGTATAAATTTTGCAACTTTGTTCTTTCATAATATTTTTGGTCATCCAGGTTGTATTTCTTCATCTCCCAACTTCTACTAAAAAAGCCTAGTAGGATTTTGTTGGGGATTGCATTGACTCTATAAGTCAATGTGAGAGAATTAACATCTTGACAATATTGAGTCTCCAATCCATGAACATGGGATATCCTTTCATTTATTTAGAGCTTCTTTTATTTCTTTCATCTGGGTTTTATAGTTTCTGGTTACAGATATTGCACATCTTTTGTCAGATTTATCTCTGATTATTTATTGTTAATGGCATTTTTTGTTTCCATTTCTGGTTTTTAATTACTAATGTGTAGAAACAAAATGGATTTTGTATTCTAATCTTAACTTTGCTAAACTCATTTATTAATTCTAGTAACTTTTAAACAAACACTTCAGGATTTTCTATATATGCAATCATCTTCTCTGTCAATAAAAAGATTATGACTTCTTTCTCTCCTGTTTGGATGTGTTTTAAATTCCTTTTCATGCCCAATTGCACTGGCTTGAGACTCTAGTTTAATTCTGACCAGAAGCAAGAGGAGATCTCCTTGTTGCTGATATCAGGGGAAGAGCATTCAGTCTTTCACCATTAAAAACAATGTTGGCTGCAAGTTTCTTGTAGCTATCTGTGTCCGTGTTAGGAAGTGTCCTTCTATTGCTAGTTTGCTGAGAGTTTCTATCAGAAATGCTTGTTGGACTTTGTGAAATGTTTTTTGCATTTATAGAAAATCTTTTTTTATTCTGTTAATATTATGGATTATACTGATTGATTTTCAAGTGTTAAGTCCACCTTGTGTTCTTGGGATAAATCACAAGAAATCTTTGCCTACCTCAAATTCACATGGTGTAGTATCATTTTATATGTTGTTAAACTATTTAGTAGAGATGGAATTTCTGAGGTTATTTTTTACTTGATTGAATGTTGATAGTTTGTATTTCTTAAGGAATTGTCCATTTATCTAAATTGTTGAATTTATCAGCATAAAGTTGTTCATAATAGTCTGTTATTAATCTTTCAATGTAAAGTGATGTTACTTTTCTCTGTCCTGATATTTGTCACTTATGTCTTCGCTCTTTTCTTTTACTTGTCAATCAAGAGAGAAATTTGTCAATTTTATGGATATTCCCAAAGAACCAGTTTTTTGTATCATTGGTTGCTCTATTGTTTTCCCTTTTTTTTTTTTTTTAAATTGACTTACACTATGATTGGTATGCTTTCTTTTGCTTACATTTGGTTTAAGTTTCTCTTCTTTTTCTGGGTTCTTAAGGTGGAAGCTAGGTCACTAATTTGAGGCCTTCTTCTTTGGTACAGGCTATAAATTTCCCTCAAAGTCCTCAATGTACCCCTGAAATTTTGATATGTTGTATTTTCTTTTTTTAAAATATATATTTTTATTGATTTCAGAGAGGAAAGGAGAGGGAGAGAGATTGAAACATCAATGATGAGAGAGAATCATTGATTGGCTTCCTCCTGCACACTCCCCACTGGGGATTGAGCCCGAAACCCGAGCATGTGCCCTTGGCTGGAATTGAACCCAGGACCCTTCAGTCTGAAGGCCAACACTCTATTCACTGAGCCAAGCCAGCTAGGGTGATATGTTGTATTTTCATATTTATTGGGTTAAAAATGTTTTCCAATTTGCCTTTTGATTTCTTTTCTTTTTGTGATCCATGGGTTTAGAAGTGTGTTATTTTGTTTTCAGAGATGTGGGTATTTTCCAGAGATTTTTCTGTTTTTTACTTATTAACTTAAATCTATTGCTGTCAGAGAACATACTCTGTATGTTTTGGACCCTTTTACATTTGTTGAGACTGGTTTTATGGTCCAGAATATGGCCTGTGTTAATCTTTGTCCTGTGTGCACTTAAACGTGACTTCCAGTGTTGCTCAGTGGGATGTTGATGAGGTCAAGTCTGCTGATGGTATGATATTCAACTGTTCTACATTATGACTGACTTTCTTCCCACTTGCTCTATTAATTAGAATGGGGTGTTGCAGT